CTATGCTCGAAGTAGGGTTCGAACGTTGTCACAACATGCCGACTCTTTCAGAACATGATCTGGTTTCGATCGATCCCCGCCCGAGGGCACGAGGCGGGATGCCCGGTGTGGGCCAGGACTCTTGGGGCCCGGCGGCCGCGGTACGCAGTCGTCATCCGTGGAAGACGCGAGGCGGGCTACTCGGGGAGCACCGGGACTTCTGGGGCGCGGCGGCCGCGGTGTGCTGTCGCCATCCGCCGAAGACGCCAACCAGGTGGAATGCCCGGGGGGCAGCGGGACTTTTGGGGCCTGGCGGCCGCGGTGTGTAGTCGAAACTCGTCCTCCGTCGGAGGCGCGAGGCGGGCTGCCCGGGGAGCACGAGGGCCGCTGGTGCCTGGCACCTGGCGGCCGCAGCATGCCCGGCGTGCGAGCCAGGTCGGGAGTTTCCTTGGCATCGCTCGGACGTGTGCATGTTTCCTTCGGCGAGGACCATCGAGGAGCATCCTTGATCATTTGGGGAACGAAACCACGCACGAAACCGAAACACGCAAGGAACGGACGTCCGAGCGATGGCGAGTTTTTGTCCTCAATCTCACAGCCCAGACTTCCGACACCGCGCCTTCTCTCACAGCGTGGCCGCGCCAAGACCTGGGCCCCATCCCCAGTGCCGGTGTGTCATCCCGAGCCGTGTCTCGACAGTCCTGGGGTCCGTCGTGTGGTGGTTTCGCAGCGAGCGCGGAGCCAGGGGGAAGCCCAGCCCGTCTCGCTGGGGCAGCGGAGCAAGCAGTGGCGAAGCGTCCCGGCTCGCCTGTAGCCCCACCATACAGTGTTCTAAGAACCTTTTCTGGTCCCCACGAAATGTTCTTAGAACATTTCTGGCTGGGACTGTCTTGTTTTAACACATCGGGTTTTATGCTCTAAGAACATTGGGTTCTAAGAACATTTCGTGGTATGACTATAGGAATGCCGGGACGGTCGGTCCCTGCTCAAGCGGATGAGTGGCGCAGTTTCACGTCAGGTTTTGCGTCGTACTCTGTGAAATCGCCTTTTCGATTCCTGAGGGCCCCGCGCAGAGTCCTGCCCCCTGTGGGCCACCTTGACGACAGGATTGGCCCGCCCGTCGGACGACAGAAAGCACACAAATGAAGTGGCCGCTCTGGCCATAGGAAACTCTACGCAACGTCGCTTTTCACACCCGCGGCTACTTTCTCAGGCTCGCTTCTGGCAGTTTGGCCCAGTGTTAGGTTTCAGCCTGCTCGGCGGCTCTCGTTGCAGTCCCTCCCGGTAGGGCTTCTACGTTCCGTCGTTCCCTGCACGCTTCCGGTGGAGCCTGGGGCGACGTCTAGTGCTTCGTGCGTAAAAAACACGTTCCAACATGTCGAGCAGGGAGAGTCGGCCACGCGCTCAGGGGGGTGGGGGGAGGGAGGGGGGAAGGCTGTGTAGAAGCACCCCTACTTCTTGGAAGGCGCGGGCCGTGTCTGTAGACGTGAGGCGGGCGCCTTCTGAGAAGCAGCCTCCTTCCAAGAAGCCTTCCCCCGTCCCCCCCACCCCCTCGTGCGCGCCCCACCCTCTGCGCGTGGCCGACTGCTCCTCCTCCTCCTCCTCCTCCTCCTCCTCCTCCTCCTCCTCCTCTTTATCCTCCTCGCCCTCCCCTCGGGGGATCGGCCTTGCTCCCCTCCTCCTCCTCCTCCTCCCTCCTCCCCTCCCTCCTCCTCCTCCTCCTCCTCCTCCTCCTCCTCCTCCCCTCCTCCTCCTCCTCCCCTCCTCCTCCTCCTCCTCCTCCTCCTCCTCCACCTCCTCCTCCTCCTCCTCCTCCTCCTCCTCCTCCTCCTCCTCCTCCTCCTCCTCCTCCCCCTCCTACTCCTCCTCCCCCTCCTCATCGACGTCCTCCTCCTCCTCGCCCTCCCCTCGGGGCGTCGGCCCTGCCCCCCGTCTCCAGGCGGTGCGCCGCACCGAGGGTGCGCGCGCCTCGCCCGCGGCGCGCCCCGCCAGGACAACTGCACCGCCTGCCTCGTGCAGCTGCAGCCGGGCTGCCCCGTGGCGCGCGCGCGCGCGCCGCCGCGCGGCCCTCCCCTGGCCGGTCGGCTGCACGCACAGTGCATTCGGGGCTCAAGAGACGGGGGGGGTCAATGCAATTGGCCGTTTTCGGTTCGCGAGAGGGCGTCGCGGCCGGCGTTTGTGCGGGTCCAGGTCCGTGGGTTTCGGCCCCAGGCCGTTTTCACTGAGGGGAGGTTTACGGGCGAGTCTCGAAAGCTGGGCGAGGGCTGCTCAAACCGTGGCTGCGAAAACGGCCCTCCCGGAAGGGAAGGGGAACAACAACTTCCCGGAAGGAGGCGCGGCACGCGCGAAGCCGTCAACGGGCCTCTTCCCGGAAGGACGAAGACAATTTCCCAGAGGTCGAGTTTAGCAGCCACGGATTGAGCAGCCCTTGCCCAGCTTCCGACGGTCGGCTGCACGCACAGCCCATTCGGGGCTCAAAGGACGGGGGTCAATGCAAACGGGGGGTCAGCCAGGGCGCCGGATCCTGCAGGATCCTGCGAAGACCCCCTCTGGCCGTTCCCAGGTCAGCGAGCCGCTCGTGGCCGCGAGGCGGCCGCGCATAGTGCCTGACCTAGGTTTGCGAAGACCTGCGTTGCAGTTGTTTTTCTTGCATTGCAGTTTTTTGGTTTCCTGCTGACCCGGGTCTGGATTGACCCGGGTCAGAAGATCCCCGATCCATCGGAGGAGGCACAGGCACCGACAATTACCGTTAAGTCGGGCCTGTCCCTCTACAGGGGGAATATTCAAGAGAAGTCAAAAAGTAATCAGGGGACGATTTTGTCACCATTCTTGAGCATTTTTGGCATATGGTTTGACCATTTTTCATTTTTCGCCCAGGCTCCCCCTGTAGGGGGACAGGCCCGACCGACAGTTACCGCTACCCTTATGTCGGGCCTGTCCCCCTACAGGGGGATTCTCGAGGAAACATAAAAGATACCCCAAAAGTACCCCCCATAAGGTAAAAGGATACGACAAAAATATTTCCCCGACTATTTTTGGATTTTGTTTCGACTAGTTTGGGGGTATTTTTTTTGCATTTTTCGGAGAAGATCCCCCTGCACGGAGACAGGCCGGACCGAACGTTCCCGCTGCCCCTCCTTCCCTCCTGCTTTTTGTTGGGCCTCCCGGGAGGCCCTGTGTCGCCACGGCCGGAGGCGCCTCGAAGGGCCGTTCAGAGCGCACCTCTCGGCGGCGAGCGAGGGCGGGAACTGAGAAGGAGAAGGCCCTCTCAGAAGTTCGACCTTCGAGGTTCGAGGTTTCGGACGCTTTCGTCGGTTCTCGGCGGTTTTCTAGCCTCGGCATGCTTGCCAGCAGCTGCGCCTTGCCGAGGGCGTTCCAGGGGTGCCCGCATCGTCCCGAACGGCCGCCAAAGATCCGAGTTATGACCCAAGAACCAAATTCGGCGGCGCGCCCAGGGGGGAAGTGAGAAGGAGAAGGCCTTTTCAGACGGCGGCGGGACTTCTCAGAAGCCTTCGCGCCTTCTGAAAAGTTTTTCTGCCTTCGGGGGAGGCTCAGAACACTTCTCAGAAGGCCCCGGGGACTTCCGAGCCATTCAGAGAAGGCCCGCCCCTCCTCACTTCCCCCCCCTCACCCGCCGCCTAACCTCGGGAGGTGTTCGGGGAGGCCGCGCAGTCCATCGGAAGAGGAGCGGGCACCGATACCGCGAACCGCTACCCTCACGTCGGGCATGTCTACAGTCGGGTATGGCCAGGACCCCAGGTAAGGGGACCCGGTCAGTGGTGGGGCCCCAGAGCCTGCGAAGTGGCCAGAATCACTACACCAGGTTTGCCATAGCTGGTGTTTTTTCGGGTGACGGCAGTTCCGGTTAGTGGAAATGGGACGGGGGGGCGCCCCTTGTATAGAACTTTAAATCAGGTTCCACTAAACCCAGTTCTGCCAGCGCCCGATACAGGAGGAACATTTGAAAATGGTCGAACATCGTGAGGGCACGTGTTTTTCATGATTTGTTTATCTCTATGATTGAATATGGTTTGGCTATTTCTGATTTCTCTTCGACAATCCGCCTGCAGGAGGCAGGAGGACATGCCCGACCTAACAATACCCTTCCTTCGTTCCTGCCTTTTTGGGCCTCCCGGGCGGCCCTCGTCGCCACGGCTGGAGTCGACTCGAAATTTTGGTCAGAACGCACCTGGGGAGTTGTTCGGGGAGGAGCGGTGTCGGTACCGCCAGGTTTCCCTGGTCAAGACGCCGAATCCAGGAACGATTTCGGGGCTCAGAGACTCTCGTTTCCGGGCCGTGCTCCTCAGACCCAGACTGGGAAATCCATTCGCGGCCGAGGCCCACCGTTTCATTCCGTGTGATCCCGTGGAATTTGGCTTACTCTGTTCCGATGTTGGGCTTGAGTCTGGCCCAATCTCGCTTCACGGCCTCATCCAGCTTCACCGTTCTTGCGAAGACCTTCAGGAGTCCTTTCCTGAGGCTCAGCGCAGACCACCACCCCGCATCGCTCGCAGCGATCGACAGGCCGCGCGCTAGATGCCACTCTTTCCCAGGCGTCGCTCTTGCCTTGGAGCTGGTCTGAGAGCTACTCCATCGTCGCGTCGCCATCGCCCCTCCAGGAGCGGTTGCTAGGGAGGGAACCGCGAGAGGAGGAGGGAGGGAGGTAGAGGAGGCACAGATACTCGAAGAAGAACCTGACGCAATAAGCGTAGACAACTGTCGGATTTTCGCGCGGACTTCTTGGGTCGGCTCCGGCCCCCCCCCTGGGGGCGCCGTCTCCAGGCGCAGAGGGGGCCTGGTGGCCGCCGCCCATCGCGGGGAGTTGCCGACCGCCCTGCTCGAGCATGTTTTCAGCTGGCGTGTGGCCGGTATCCCCGAGGGGGAGACGCCACGTGCCCCCTCTCAGCGGGTCCGTCCTGCTCGGGGTCTGGCTCCGCACTCTCGCGAACGCCGATTATGCCTCTTCCCCCGTGGATTCGGCGGGCCAACCGAGGCGGCGTCTCTGCGACACGCGGTCCCAA